GAGCTAAATGGAACAATGCAAGTATATATGCAAGTAGTCCTCATTTACCAACCACTTGGTTAGTGACTGATCAAAAATATTATGGTTATGAAAAGGAAACTTATGGCTGGTACTCAAAGTAGTCACATGATTATGATTCATTTGCTTGGCAACTAGCATACATAAGAGTTTGCAGTGTCCCAAAGTCACGTGATCACCATTTGTCACCCTCACAGTTGGGTTCTAACCAGCAGGAAGTCACAAGTTTCAGTCACATAATATTGTACTCAGCAACCCACAGTGATTCACTTAACAAATGTAGTCAGATCTGATATTTTAAAGTCAATCATGGTCACATAACTTCTTACTTTACAATTGCATGCTTACTGAGAGAATTGCTGGTCTCAGCTGTAATAGGTAAGTGAGGGCTACCTGTAAATAGCAATAGCACTTAGACTTATATACTGCTTTATAATACTTTACAGCACTCTCTAAGTAGTTTACAAATGTCAGCATATTGCCCCCAACAATCTGGGTCCTTGTTTTACCGACCTTCGGAAGGATGGAAGGCTGAGTTAACCTTGAGCCAATCAAGATCAAACTCCAGGCTATGAGCAGAGTTGAGCCTGCAGTACTGCATTCTAAGCATTGTACCACCACAAAACAATCCCCGCTTGTTTCCATTATTTTTGTAATTATAGTTTATAGGACAGTGTGCAGTAAATAAAACAAATTCTATAGTTAACATTTTGTAACATGTATATAGGAAGTTTATTCAAAGAAGTCTTGAGACATCCACGTTTTAAGTGATCACAGAATATCCAACAGTCACTCACAATTTTACAGAATAGCTAGGAAATATTTAATGTGGGAATCTTTTTTGTTGCAGTTAGTTTTGCCCCATTTTATGACCTTTTTTGCCAGTTAAGTGAATCACTGCAGTTGTTTAGTAACACAGTGATTAAGTGAATCTGGCTTCCCCATTAACTTTGATTGTCAGAAGGTCACAAAGTGATCATATGACCTGGGACACTATAACTGTCATAAATGCAAGTTAGTTGCCAAGTGTCTGAATTTTGATTATGTGACCGAGATGCTGCAAAGATGTTAAGTGTGAAAAACGATGAATCACTTATTTCAATGGTTATAAATTTGAATGGTCACTAAACAATCTGTTGCAAGTCGAGGACTACTGTAGTCCAATGTAATCCATGTATATATGATTTTACTTTTCATGAGTACTGGATCTGTACCCTAGATATTTGGGGGGGGGGGAATCATTTAAATTTGAGCAACCCTTTTCCTACAAAAAAACCTACAGGTTATTTTTATGAATATGAGAGCACCAATATTTTAAAGTTCACATAGTAGAAAAAAAACTCTTAACAGCTTTTTAAACTCTTAACAGCTTTTTAAAATATCAGTTCATAAGGTACTCTATGAAACTGTTCTACGTGATTTACATTGATAAAGTCAATTATCCAAGGCAAAAAAAATAAAACTGGAGCCAGCTATATACTAATATTAATCTGGTTTTAAATGTCTCAACTTTTTATTGCATACTCCTGTGTCCATCTAAAGCACTTATTAACAAACACATTTTTTGTTTTAATCTTACATTTTATCAATTTTTCTAATAGATGGGTGTGGATGTTTTGTACCAACATATGGATTTTCATACCATATACATATGCATATACTCATTTTTCTCTATTATACTTAATCTGTATTGTTGCCAGAATCACACTGAAAAATATGAAAACTGAAGATGTGTTTTCATTTTCTTATTGGTCTATGTATATAAACTATTTTATTTTGATCCCAACTATCTAAACCAATCATTAAATCAATCATTATATCAGAATCAGAAATCATATTATGAATGCCTACATGCAGTCAAATCCTGATGCTATTTAAACAATTTAATTGCTGATTGGAGTTATGAGAATTTTAAATTAACTCATGTGGACAATGCCAAGCTCTGAAAGATCAGTTTATTATATATGAACAGAACTAGATGAGTACTGGTTTTATAAACCAGTACTTTGTAAAATATAAATTTACTCCATGATAAATACATCAAAAAAATAAGCATAACAAATACTGACAATTTGCTTTAAGTGAGAAGTAAAGTAAATGAGAAGTAAATCATGTTTCATTCAGTAGAACCTATTCCAAAAGCAAAAGTGATTATGTGGTACCATAGCATAACGTTGATAGCAGAAAGAAGGAACGTTCACTCAAAATAAAGCATGACACTTAAAGGCCATGATGTGAATGTGTCCATTCCATTAGCATATAGCCTAAATTTATTCCTGAAATATATATAAAAAAAATTCTTTTCACTACCCATTTCTTCTATGCAATGGTCAAAGAAATGGAAAACAGAACAAAAGTATAACAGAGTTGGAAGGGACCTTGGAGGTCTTCTTGTCCCCCTGCTCAAGCAGGAGACCCTATACCATTTCAGACAAATAGTCGTCCAATTTCTTCTTTAAAACCTCCAGTGTTGAAGTACCCACAACTTCTGGAGGCACGTCGTTCCACTGATTAATTGTTCTGTCAGAAAATTTCTCCTTAGTTCTAGGTTGCTTCTCTCGATTAGTTTCCATCCATTGCTTCTTGTCCTGCTTTCAAGTGTTTTGGTTCACCCCCTCTCTTTTTTGTAGCAGCCCTACAGATAATGGAACACTGCTAACATGTCACGCCTAATCCTTCTTTTCTTTAGACTAGACATACCCAATTCCTGCAACCATTCTTCTCGTTTTGGCCTCCTGTCCCCTTAGCAGCTTTGTTCTTCTCCGCACTCTTTCTAGAGTGTCAACATTTTTTTTATATAGTGGCGACCAAAACTGAATGCAATATTCCAAGTGTGGTTTTACCAAGGCATTATAAAGAGAATATTAAGACTTCATGAGAAAATAAACCTGGAATTGGCTAAAAAAAGGTCAGATTACTTGTTTCATTTTTTCTGGTTTAAAAAACAATTCCCCAAAGAAATCTTGGTTTATTGTTCTATGAAAACATGCACTGATAATCCAATTATCACTATTAAAATTGGTACTTGGAGTAAATAGGTAATAGGTGTTTTAGAAATCTGGAATTTAAAAAAAAATAAAGGGTCAAAAGAATTAATAGTATATCAATGTATTTTCATTTTAAAAATTCTTTGCACATCACAAAATTGATGTGCAATCTAGTTATAATTTAAATACATTTATTTCAAAGATAATAGATGCATACAAACAATTGTAAAAATTGGTGCTTCTCAAAAGTGTTAATACTGCAAATCCTTAAATCAGCTAAATCTTTTCCTGGGATTGGGTAATTTCCATGCATTCTTGGAAAACATGTTTCCTTAAAGGTGTTGTATGCGGCATAATTGAATAAAACTAGCAGAAATAATCCATTAAATTACACAGCAGTTTCATTTGTCTTTTCAATAATCTAACTCTTGTACATAACCTATTCTGTTATTAGGATTTTTACTAGTTCTGCAGTAATATCACATTATCCCTATTTACGGTACAAATGTTAAAATGTTCAAGGAAGAAAAGATTTTAAAAAAACCCTCTGCAAAACATGTAAGTAAGTGGGGAAGCCATCAGGAAGTTGTAAATGGTGACCAAGTAATGTCATGTTTAACGCTTAACAAGGACAAATGGAAGTGCTGGAGCTGTCATATGAAGTGGCTTGATCATGTGACATCACATCATTAACCAAGGATTAATTTCATGCTGCAATGCTTTACAGTCCTATTCTGTCAAAATGTTTGAACTTATTGTTTACTTAGATTCTGTGACTTTAATATAGTTGAGTGCATGATCTCTATTATTTAAGAGTCACATAATGGAAGTACTGAGAATTAGAGCCATATACATTATTTTAAAAATATTGATACTATCATTCTTAAAATGTAAATCTAGGAAGTATCTCTTTAAAACAAATAGCACAGGTATAAGTCCAAGAACTGATAATCTAGTTGTTGTTTCTGCAGAGCAGACAGAAGAAAAATTGAAGTATTCTGTATCAATATAAAGATATTCATTCACCTCTTCACAGATAAAAATATGACCATGTGGGTCTCCTTTACGAAACCAAGGAAGTGATGACAATCATACAAATACTGCATATTTGCATTGTAATATCTGACGCGAGTACATAAGCTGTAGTATTTGTGTAATGACATAATAACACCTGTAATCATTTGCTCCACACACTCCCTTATATCCTAGGCAAATCTTTTAGCTTCATATAAATATGGGATCAGAGAAAAGCTCCCATCTTGTTTCTTAAAAATAATCTTATCAAATTTGCACTGGCAATAAATATGTTTATTCATATATTTTAATCTACTCATGTAACATGAAATAGCAATAGCACTTAGATTTATGTACTGCTTTATAGTGCTTTACAACACTCTCTAAGTGGTTTACAGAATCAGCATACTGCCCCCAACAATCTGGGTCCTCCTTTTACTGACCTCAGAAGGATGGAAGGCTGAGTCAACCTTGCGCCAGTCAGAATCGAACTGGCAGTGAGCAGTGAGTTAGTCTGCAATACTGCATTCTAACCACTGAGTCACCACAGCTCCATGCTATGCATATGCAATAACAGCTGTTTCTCTAATGTACTTGATTTGCTTATATAAAGGTCAAAATAAACCAAAATAAATATCCAATACAAAATGCTTTCATGATAGAATAATTATACCAGTATATATTAAAATTTTATTTTTTTACACATTTAATATGCATTGTATAACTGAAGCTCAGGGATAGTTTTCTATTTATTTTTTTACTTCCAGTGTAAGAGAGGAAGTTTTCATCAAGGAAGAAAAGATTTACGTATTTAAATGAAGTGCAGAACTGTAAATATTTTGCCTGCCAAAATTATTAAATGCAAGTACTTGCTAATGGTTCCATAATGTTAAACAAAGCATTTTCTTTAGTATTGAAAGACAGGAATCTAGCAATCTTTTCAAAAAACAAAATGTGTTTGGGGGGGGGGGGGAGGAAACACTTTGAATGTATTTTATAAATCCGCTATAGAGGAAGCAAAAATGCAAATAGCAGTAATGATCCATTAAGTGAACGGAAATTTGTTTCCTTCAAAATTATTTCCATTCATAATCTAGTTAAGATCAGAGGTGAATATTCACTACTTGTAGGTTTTCAAGGCTCAAAATGTTTATTTGAAACTTGAACACAGGATTACATTACGATGACAATCCCATTGCAAAGAGGTTTATACATGTTGTTGAAAAATAACATATTTGATTAAAAAAACACAAATTTATATTGGCTAATAGTTTCATATTTTCTAAAGCTGCATTAGCCTCAACGTTTTCTATGTATTGCAAGCTGCATTTTTATTGTCATACAATTACAATGGATAAAGCAGATTTTTTCTCTCCAAAAGATAGGCATTATCAAAGAAAAATAATTACGGATACTTACAATTAAATTTAAAGATAGTATGCAGAGCAGTGTTTCAAAATCATTTAAACTGTTTATTTTATTATAAGCATGTAACTCACAAGTTTCACAGCACGGTCACATTGTATTTTGTGGCAGTCACAAATAACTGATGTACAAAATGAAGTGCATTATTTCTACACTATCCTAAGCCTATGACTAAATACAAAAAAATGTCTATAGTTTACAAAAAAGGTTAATGTCTATATTAACAGTAAAACCATTCAAAAGTAACAGTTGAAATTATAGGTATAACACCAGATAGTCATTCATTCAATTTCACAAGAATACAAAAATGAATGTTTTAATATCTGCGACGCTTGTTAGGTCCTTCAAAGCTGCCCCCAGGATTTCCTCTACCAAAGCCACTTGGTCCACTATTGACGGCACCTACACCACCCATAGCTGGTTGAGGAGTTTCAGAGCCTGGCCTATTAACCATAGGTGAACCCATTTGTGGTGGGCCTCCTTGAGGAAATCTCTCAGAATGCTACATTAAGTCCATTTAGAACAAACCCCCAGTTTGAATTACAATAAATAGGGGAAATATGATGTTTTCAGGAAGTTCAGCAGATAGTCCAGCAGAATCAGGATGACACATAAAAGGAAGAAAGGAGCAATTAATTTAGTCATTACCTTTAAAAATTGGATGTAAGCTAAAAAATAAACAATATTGTGACAACCAGGTCATTAAGTTAAAGGAATAGATAGGCAAGGTGTAACCATTCTAAGAGGTCTAATTCTAATGAATAGGTATTTTATATTCTGAATCTTCTGTACAAAATCTAAGTATGCATAAATATTAAGTATGTTAAGTATGTATAAAGAATACCAAGTATGTACAAAGAAATGAAATTAAAAGTATATTTTAGAAGGTACTTAAGCTTAACTTTTTAAGAGAGGCTAAATGCAACAGAATCTAGGTTCAAAATTATTAAGTGTTATAGATAAATGGAAGATAGATAGATAGATGATAGATAGATAGATCGATAGATAGATAGATAGATATAGGTTTAATGTAATTCAAATTAACATTTACAGCCAGATTTATATTTAACGTATTTAAAATATATGTTGTAACTTAATAGATTACGGGTGTCCTAATTCAAAATTGTAGAAAAATGATCATATTCTCTTTTAATTACGAGAACATTTTAATTAAGGTCCCTGAAATGACTTAATAGTCTATCTGGCCGACTCCAACTTTATTATGCAGTTGGGGTTAAAAATATGAATGGAAATGTCCTTGTATTTCTCCTGCATTGCAGTTTCTAAAAGTCCAAAGTCATCAGCAGCAGATTTTTTAGAGAACAGCAAATTCTGATTCTTGAAATGAATGTAACTCCGAAACTAAGTCACCGATATGAATACTGCTATATTGTTAATACTAAAAAGTTATTTATAGTAACCAGCAGTAATTATCTCATTTTCTGGGTCAATTGCTGTGTAGATAACTGGTATAAAATATTGCATCCTTTTTCTAGAGCCCACTACACTCCTTGCAAATCTGCTCTGATCAATTGCAGTATACCTGAATAGATGAAGGGATACTGAGGAAGAAGCCATAAAAGAAAAGTTCTCTGATGTGAGGTTGGGTACTGTTATTATCCAATTTATTACAAAAACAATAAATACATGTTTAAGGAGAATTAAGCAAATTTAAACATTTAATTATATGTCTACTTTTTCCTTCAGTAATGTAAGATCTCTATAAATATTGAATTAGATATATAATAATATTAGAAACAATCCAAATATACTAGGCTAAAGTGATTTTGAAAAACAAATTCAGCTCTTCTGAAAATGGTATAGATCGTGTAATTTTAAAAATGGTTTCCAGTTCTTTTACTGACAAAAAATAGTGTGCTTCCTAATCATTATTTTTTTATTAATTGTGCCATAATCCTGTTCATTATTTTCCTCCCTTAAAAAGTAAAGAAATGGATTCATAATTTGGTATGCATAAAGCATGCTGAACCGAGAAACTAGGTATATCAGATCACTTTATGAAAAGCGATTTCCTCAGCAAATAACATATAGAAATTTAAGTTGATTATCCTTTTAAAAAATTGCATAATGTATATAAAATTTAGTGCCAAAAACACTAAACTCTTCAGCCCTGGGGATTGATTATATTATAAAACTCATCAAACAAAAATAATTTTTTGTTTGAATAAATTTTACTTCCCCAACTCCACTTCTTTGGAACTCCAAACATAGCAAAAAATGTTATAATAATAAAACCAAGAAGTTAAATATATTAAATGCAGTATAAATATTAGCTAATATCCTTGCCTTGTCCTTAACAACGGAATCAAATCTAGTTTTCAGGAGAAACTCTATTAAAAATAGTCAGGTTTTACAAAAAAAGCTTTGTGGTTATAAACTCATTCCAATAAAAATCTGTTAATCAATTAAATTTGCTTTAAAAATATTCAAAGATAGCTTCACACCATGAATCATTTCAAAACACCCAAAATAAAGCATGCTTATCGGTAATCCATGTCTACAGTACAAAATAATAACTAAATCTTAAATGTCTCTTCAATAATCATTTGGAGGGAGGGAGGAAGCACTTTGAACTGCATGTGCTCATGCGCCTTTAAATATGGTAACTTGCAGTAGCCCGAAGAACTTATAAAAACTTTTTTGCCCGTGACTTTTATTTATATTAAAAGAATCATACATGTTATTTAATTATCAGTAATAGGATAGATATTGATGGCATATTTAGCAACTAATTTAATTTTTAAATTATTTTCAATAACAATTACAGTTACAGTGTGAAGTTATCCTTGTTAGATAGATTTGCTATGTTTTAGGAAAAAAATAAATGTTTATGATACATTACCACGGTTCCATTATCTGGCATCATTGGGGTTCCAATGTTTGTAGCTCCTTCTGGCCCCAACGAAGGACCTGGACCCATTGCAGGGCCAGGCATTGTCCCTCTGTTGTTCATATTCATACTCATCATTGGAGGTGGAGGAGGAGGACCTTGGTTTCCAGCAGGTGCTGGGCTAAAGGCATCTATGTAAAACAGTCTACACTTAGAGCTGTCCTAACTGCATTTTAAAGAATTACAAATTATAATAGTTGAAACATTTGAAAAAAAAATGCTGTTATTCTTTGAGACTGTACATTTACTTTAATTTTTTGGCATTAAGCAATTATTATTGAATGATACCATTCCAAATAAAGTATAACATTCTCAATTTCAAGTATTTTTCCATAAGCTAATTCCTATTAATTGTTGAAAGTAATGGTATTAACTTTCAAAGTGATATCAGTTCTTTTGTGTGTAATCATTTTTTCCCAGAACATCATTTGCTTATGATATTGTACAAGGCTAATTAAACTACAATTTTATGTCTATGACAGTGAATGTAGAAAATCTGAGTATTACCAAGTGAAAAATGCAAGAAACTACTTATTTGAAGAAGACCATATATGGAGTTAAAGATTATTTTGTATAACTTGCAATAACAATAGAATGCTTGACTAGAATAACATTTTTTTTAATTATACAAGGTAAAGATAAAGGTAAAGTTTACTTAGGCTTGGTTATCATAAGGACTATAATCATATTTTTCTTGACAACATTTGCCACTGTCTTTCCTAGGGGTTTTCCAATTTCCCTATGTAGCCTGCAGTCTTATGATTTTCTGGTGGTCTCCCATCCAAATACTAGATATTACTAAATGCACTGAATTAGAGGCTTCTTTATAAAATGTTACCACATTAATACTGACAAAGAAAAAATATCTGGGGACATTGTAATCAGATTATATATGTACTGACTTTAGTGGAAAATCATAATTCTCATGAAATAAATCAGTGATAGTACAGATACAGAAGCAGTAGTTTTTAATTTTCTTGATTTTAATTCTAGGTAGACAATGATAGAGACAAGTTTTGTAATGCCCAATGTCTACAATAAGAGAGCTTTCCCTCAATCACATCTTCCTGTGCTGCTTTACTTAATACAGGTATATTCTCAGCAACATAAGAGCTAATCTGCAGAGCTTTTTATTTTAATCATGGTTTAAATACTGCTAAAATATATTTAACATGTTAAGATACTTTTTCAATAGGGGCTGAGTAGTTGTTAGACTTTCCTTTATTCTTGTTACAGTAGAACTAAATGAAAACACACAGGACTGGGCAAAAGGGGGCACAATTAATCAATTAAAGAGATAAAGTCCCTTTGAAAGTATACTCTGAACTTTAGACTAATTCAAAACAGATGGAAACTGAAACTGGAACTTGCCACAGAGGTTTATACCTAAAGCAACAGTTGCCCAGAAAATGAAAAGCCAAATTGTACATGGCTTTAAAATTTATCATGACATTTCCCCCTCCTTTTCCCCATATTGGTTATTTATAAAGGCATCCGAAGCAGTTTTGGCTCAAAATCTAAAATCAAAATGAAATCGATCTGCATAATAAACTTAATCCAAATCTTATTACAGTTGTCTGGATAGCACACTTCTTGAAGAAGCTACCCAAATAAAACAAAGACTAATCTTAGTCAGGTACGCATAAATATTATTATACCAGATGGCCCAAAATGCCACAATGAGAAATACCAAAGTAATCAGTATTAGACATACAAAATAGCTGTTGTTAAAGTAATGTGGAGAATTCAAGTATGAGATGAGTGTTCTACTCACAACTTTAAACTAACATAGAAATCAATATCTCAACTTCGGCATATTGTACAATTATTCACTAATGCGTTTTTGAAGACTAAGTAGTAACTTTGCACGATACTATTACACAAATATATATGGTTATAATGCAATAAAGTTCTGAAAGACAAAGAGCTGATTATTTACAAGTTTAAACCCTTAATTATAGTTTGCTCCCATTATTCCCATAAATACAAACATAAGCCTCCAATTAAAACAATATATTCAAGACCCTGTTATAAATTCCCAAGAAGTAAATCTAATTAAATCAAATGTTTACTTGTACTGTGATGTATTTTAATTTTACATTTACTCAGACAAAATTTTAGAAACGTTTACAAGAAACAGGAATTCATGTTTGTCAGTTGATACTGACAGTTTTTCCCATTACCTTTAATTTTATAAAATCAAAAATTATGTTTGAAAGAAAAAAATAGTCCAGTATATAACAAATTAAAATTTTGGTCAAGATTATCTGCCAAAGTCTACACAAGTAACATGTACAGTCTCAAAATAACTTTCAAGAACAAGAGCCTTTTGCTTCAGATCCCTACCTCCCATGTTTAATGCTCCACGAGGACCCATATCACCCATTCTCATTTCCTGTTCTCTCTGAAAGTAAACATAATTTGCATCGTCAACCTATCACTTATTATTTTAACATTCTCATTTTTTGGCCAACCAATTTATGAAATAACACTTATAATTTCATAAAATCAAGAAATACCATTTCTTCCATTAATAGAAATTAGTACTTTATTCTTTTTAAAAATTCTGGTCTTTAATAAAGAAGACACAAAATAATACCGAGATGACCACCCAGAGATCAGCCTTAAGTATACTAACTGCCCCTGTGAAGAATCAAAATAGATGGCAGTATTTACAGCTACTTGTAATTGTGTCATATTTAATACTTTTCTGAGATTTAATTATGGAACAATAATATGAAATATTCTGTAGCATTATTACATTAATCACACTGGAAGCAGTAATATATACTGGTCTCAGAATTTAAAAATGTAAAGTATTCTTTATGTAATATAAAATACATATATTAATCTTAAATTGTGCTTTAACAATAGCAAATATCTGGCAATATATAGTCATCAAGCTGTAGCCTATTCTATATGATAGCATAGATCAGGGGTGTCAAACTCGCAACGTCACGCGTGTCATGATGTATCGCACCTTTTTTCCCATTGTCGGCAATGGGGTGGGGGCAGTTTCGTCATGACGCATCTGGCCGACAGGCCAGCAGTTTGACACCCCTGGCATAGATAGACAGTAAAAATTCAGCAAAACTTGAAGGTCAGGCTTTTTTCTTTTTAAGTAATTTATTTGTAGACGGGTGGAGTAATTGTAGGCAAATGAATTACTGGATTTGTTTTTAAGATTACCACATGAACATGAAATAAGTATTGCCAATTGGGTTCACTTAGATTCTGTAATTACATAAAAAAATGCAACTATTAAAGTATCTCTTAAAATAAAAAATAAATATTATCAAGTATTGATCAAACTATAATGGTTAAAAACTTAGTAAGATGCATAGTATTATCAGATTTCATAATTTTAATTTTTATCAAAGAAAAGAGAACATTGTCATCCTGAGTAAAAAAGCTGACAGGATATGTATTATCGATGATGGAACACATATGTGAAGTTTCAGACAATTCCACTGATTGATAACCTGAAGAAATTAGAACAGAATTAATTAAAAACTACAACCTGTAAAGCAGTATGTGTTTACTTATTTGGCATTGTTTTCTTCCCAGAATACAGCTAAAACCATCTATATAATGTATACATTAATGTATACAATGTATATAATAAAAAAGTAAGAGGCAAGACATTCTACAATTCTGAAATTTTTGAAATTCTGAAATTTTGTAATGTAAAATAAATATATCTATAATTTATATACAGAATGCCAAAATATTAAAATTGGCAATAATAATACCCTTATATACAATTAGATTTAAAAGTATTCATGAGATCTATGACAAATGTTGTACTAAAACACACGGCATAAACCCTGGTATAAGAACAAGAATGATCAAATATCAAGAGATGAACTATTTCTTTTAAAAAATGGGGTTTTTTTTGCTTTAAATAACCCTTGTTTATTATATACAACAAGTACTACAACATGAATAAAATATTTCAGTTCTCTGTCCACTAAAATAATTAATAAATAAAGGACTGATTCACATAACTAAGAGTCTTTCTGGACTCTGCTCATAAAAATGTCATAATCAGAAATTAGCAAAAACAAGTATTCATAATACAACCGTCATGCTGTCAAATATACCAATATTATAGGATTTTCTAAGCCCTTTCAATTAATACTTAGTAAAATATATATTAAGAATATACTTAAAAGTAAAATCTTCTGTTAAAAAGAAAAACCATACTAACTTTTCAGGCCAATAGAACTACATATGAGCATTAAAGTACAAATACAAACTAGAAATATCTGAGTAAAGAAAATTAAGTGGCTAACAGAAAAGGTGCTATGAATTTTATGTTGTCTATTTTATCAAAACCAATAAAGAATATTGTTAAATAAATAGAACCGCCATTACAAAACTTCCTAGCCAAATATAGAAATACTACAGTTACCAACAAAGCACAAGCAAATGCTCAAAATCATATAAAGATTCTAATATTTAAGGTCATGTAAAGATCCCAATATAGACATCTATTTAAATATCATCCTTTTTCCAAGGTTACAGAAATATTTTTACTAGAAGGTGGTGGTGGTGGTGGTATGCTGGATATAAAACTGAATAAAATCCATATGTTTTGAGCTGAACGATTAGCATTCCATTCAAGCATCATATAAACTCACGCAATGCTAACAGGAATTTCAAGCTGATATGAAATTTTGCGATCTTCAAAATAATGTTAAAAATTACATCAACAGCAAGTAAAAATATCATTTACTAGTTAGCATGTTTGGTAAGCATTTATATGCTTTAGACCTTATCTCAGTAATTCTGCATCTATCCTACATTTTAAAGCTTATTATCTTCCAATTACAATTGAGAAGCCATGGCTAGCTGGCAACTATTGAGTTAAGATTTGATTGTATTTTATTCTACTTATGTGTTACAAATAGCATTAGGATTCAAAATTTCAAAAACTATCATTTATAGTAAAAAATTTACCAGACTTCACTAAATTCTCTGGTTTATTAATCTCACATCTTAACACAAGCAAAAAAATTCAAAGGGAGACTGTACACAAAATAAATGAGTCAGATAAGAATTTGTTATCCAAAGCACACAAATCGTATCTTGTTTTATTGCATAATGCATATGTTAAGACAGTTTGAATCTCTTTTATATAGTTCCAGTGATTTATGTCCTTTCTTAAACTAATACTGAAATATTTTTGCCATTAAAATTTATTTTTAGTATATAATTGATGTGGTATCTCATTACAAATTCCTTTTAAAATATTAATAACTGAAGATTTTGAGATAACAAAAAACATGCAAAATAATGAAGCACAGTATATATTTCCTCTTTGTTCTCTCCCAAAATGTATGACGTATGCATGCATACTTCTACTTAACAATAAAAAAAATGTTTATTTCATGGACAATTTAAGGATTTACTTGCAAACTCCTTGTATTACCTTTGCTTACCTGTGCAAATTAAATCTTCGGTAGGCAGCAGTATCCATCATACATTCAATCACTGGATTTGCCATTATTTTGAAAAATACTAAGATTTCAAGCAATTAAATAAAGCATGTTGCTCTTTTTCTTACATCGCTTTAGCAGAATCTTTAAAATAAATATATCATTTAAGTTCGAGGATATGCATAAATTCTAGGTTAATAACATTTTAACAGTATCTTTTAATTTTCTAAACAATGTTATTGAGTTACCGAGAAACAATTAAGAGCTTCCTTCATACACCCTGAATTTTTATTTGCTATTTGGATGCCATTTCTGTTTAAATTTATTTATAATATATTAAAAAAATACACACTGGTATTATGTAATCCTCATAAATGATTGCCTCATAGAGCAACTGTTGCAGTAATTCAGCAATCGATCTTTGTATTTATGACCTTCACAGATATAGAAAACAAAGGAAAGCTGAAGTAAAACTGTAAGCAGTTACGGCTTCACTTAGCAACCACCTTGCTTGATGATTGTCATTGCTAAATGAGGTCTATCCATATATGCTTGCATATATCCAGAGAGAGATAATATCCTGAATGCTGAATAATATAGAAACATATGATACAATATTGTGAAATCTAAGAAAACGTGAATATCAAAACCCTATAATGTCATCATTTGGACTACAATACAAGCATTTAAGGGTTTTAATCTAATTGCAATAATGTATCCATCACATAGGGAAATGTACATAATAAATTCACAATATAGAAATTCTCAGTCACCTAGATGTAAAAATATACAGTATAATTTCCTCAAAACTAATAACACAAAATGTATTATTACTATGTATTGCATTTAATGGCATAATGCCTAGAATTTTATAAGAAAAAAATCCATAATTTTTATGGCATGAAAAATAATGGAAGCATTCAAGTAGTTAAATTTTCTTCTCAACTTTATGTGAAACAAACATTAACTTTGCTATCAATTTTTATGCTAAAATTAAAAAAATTAAAGGCATCATTAGTTATAACTTCCTAATGCTTTATCTAATACTTGTACTTAATCTATATTCGCTTGCATAACTGCTGCCATGTGCTAAAATGTGACCTAAGAAATAAGCAAATAAAGAATCTTACTGTAAATAGAAACTCAACAGCAACTCTTATTTTTCTGCATATATATTGGGAAAAAATAACTAAATCAAATAATCAACATATTAAACAGTGATGGCACATTTTACCATATTTTAGCAAATATACAAAATTAGAGAACTCAAATTATACATTGACAATGGTTTACTTTCAAAGATGAAGCCTTGTTTGGCTAGAAAACAGCAAACATAGTATACACAATGACATTTTCTTGGAGTCTTAATAACAAAAATAGCTAAAAGTATGAAATTTCAAGTGTTGTGTATTTAAACTGTGAACTCAGAAATAAATTCAACATTTCTTTATAAATAAGTTATGAATTTGTCAGTTGGGAAAAAATCCAAAAATATAGTTGTTAGTAAAATTATTGTGAAAGCCAGCCACTTACTGAAAGATTTAAAAGTACTGTATGTGTTCTCTTCATTGACAAATGAACTTAGAAACTAATTTCTTGTAGATGATCTTTGAAGCAGAATATAAAAGTTGTTAGACAAGAATTGTCAGCAGAATACCCCGCCCCCCACATCCTGGGAGAATATTTTGCTATCAGAATAATCTCACTGCTAATTTTTACTAAGTCCACAAATGCTTTTCAACATATAATATGCTAATGCTGACGAAATAATTCTTAATACTTCTTACATTGGGTCACTTTATTTACAATCTTCAGTTAAACTACTATACAGAAAATTAAAGATTAATCAAGTGCATGAATTAATGAAAGTTGCTTATGAGATTCAGTAGGAAGCGAAAGTTCCTGGATTTTATTGTTTTCAATATGATGGAACTGGAGTTTTAAATAGGATTTATTTGGGGGG